TTATAGAAACTGTCATCTTTGACCTAGGTCGAACATGCGACATCTACTCTGACTGTACTGTCACTACACAGTGTCTGCTGTCATTAGAGTTCAAGTGATCATTAGAAGAAACAGCTTGTGCTGCTTGAGAGGTTATTTGTTGGCTTCTGATGTATGGGACATGTCAGGGGAAATGAAAATATCAGTTTGCTGTTTTGTTTAGCTGCAATATTGACTTTAATGAACAGGCTGGCTGTTTAACATTGATAAAATATCAGTATTGTTTACAACACTATAAATTCCACTGATTTTAATGGAGTTTACTCCAATGAATGAATCTATCCAGCTTAATGTTTTACAGAAGTTTATATAACAGGCTGATTTGGAAAACCATGTTGCTTTGGAAGTCGTATGGCAACGTCATGCAATTTAGATAAGTGGTGAAGGCATTATTAATCTTCCTGATCAGAAGTCACAAATGCTAAGGATCTTTGAAATCAGACCTTTGCCTGCATAAGTAATAGCATTGCTCACGGTCTCAGTTTATGCTGGTAGAAGAAAGTATCCTTTGTCATTTTTCAAAGTATGCATATGTTTGAATTAGAATTTCACAAAATCACAGAAATTTGGTAAGAAATAAATAAATTATTTTCTTGACAGAAGTGGTATTGAGAATAAAGAAGAAAAAAGAAGAGAAAAACTGTGCATTTATTAACATACCAAGACTTTTTAAGCCTTTAATAGTTTATATTAGTATGTGTAAAACTGGGCCAGTGGATTCCACAATAACAAAGAAAAATGGGCACGAGATTTTAAACATAGATCAAGGGGGAATTTACAAACGCCCATTACTCATAACCTTTTTATCTTGATGGTATATGATACTGCCTTCTGGTTACAGCAGAGAACATGACACTGTCTCTTCAGACTCTTGTTTGATCACTGTAGATGAGGGGGTATAACTCCCAGCAACTGGTTATTCTCATCATTGTGTACTTCATCAAATGTCTTCTTGTTTTTTATTATGTCCTTGAAATCTGCCCTGAAGTTGATAATTGTGAAATTTAAGTAAGACATGCTTGTATTGTGTTGTGATGGGCCTTCTGGTTATACTCAAGTCTTGTTTGTAACTTGAAGGAAGAGCAGCCAGCTGTGTCTAACAAGCCTGGAAACTGCAGGTTCTGAGCACAGATTAAAAAAATAATAATAATGGGGAAATATTTGGATATTTAAATGAAAGAACGAGCAAGCAACCAGGTGTTTTATCAGGAATTTAAATATAATGAAAAACAAAAAGCCACCTGTTTTCAGTTTCATATTCTGTGGTTGACGGGGCACTCATGAGATGATTCATATCTCATCTAAAATAAAGATTGGCATTTAACATAGTTTCCACCTCATCATCTTCCCGTTACATTGTTCAGATGGAGGCATTCAATTTAAAAAATCATGTATTTTTCCACAAACATGCAAAGTTTTAATCAAGTGTAATTTAGTTCTGACCAGAAAATGACAAGTCCCATCCAGCAGGAACATTAGTGCCTGTTGTTCACTTAGTGAGAAGGTTAAGTAAATGATCCTGCCTCATCAGTCATCAGGGCCTGGTATGTGGTACCTGTGTACCCTTGACCTGCTACATTACCACTAATCAGTATCAAAATAAAAGAAACTCCTAGATACCACTTAGCAAATGTTGCACTTGTCTATTTTTTCAAATGGAATGTAGAAAAGTCTGCTGGAAGTGAATGCAAAGATTATTGGTAATTACTAGTATTCCCCCCCCCCAAAAAAAAAAAAAAAAGTGTTATGAGAGTAAAAATGATTTAAAAAAAAAATTCGCTTATGAGAAAAGTGTTTTGGATACAGTGTTTAAGTATTAAATATTTTTGTATCTGATTTTCTTTTGAAGTTTGTTTTTGTAAGTACCTTCATAAGTACCTTTAATACATTGTACTTAAAGTGGTTGCTCACTCTCATACAGGAGTGAATGTTATGCAGCACCATGCCGATACCAAATGTGCACTAAGCATGCTGCTGTAATATTGCCATTTGGTAGACCACAAAAACCACAAACCAGACGATCAAGTTAAGTGTGTTCACAGGATTAAATAAGGTGTCAAAACCACAGTATCAGTGCATAATACTATCAGCATCACATCGTTGGCTTATAGGAAGAGAGTTTTCATCATCAAAGCTCCATCAAGAATCACAGCAGCTCATGTGCAAGAAAGCCATCTATTCAAACTCCCCCTTGCAACTCTTTGACAGGAAAACATTCAAGAAAACATTTTTTCCACATAACCCTTGCCTCAAAAGCTCTCCAATCAAGCAACCATTGACCCAGAGTGACTGGAATTATTTCTTTAACTCTATGGTTTGTAATTGAAGAATTTGAGTTCTTGGTTCCTCCTGTTTCATTCAGCTCAGGTTTGTTTATGGAGACATTGAACAGGCAATGAGTGAGTGCGTTTGCATGGCAGGGAACTGTATAGGGGATGACAGCCAGGTACAGCTTGGGATAGGTGTTTAATGCATGCTTTAAAAAAAAGTGAGTGAAAGAAGCCGACGGAAGTGCGGTGAAGTGAAGTACAATTTATGGCAAAATGCATCATATTACAGAAATTGTTCAAGTTTTTGAACACTGATATGTTGCTTGTGTAGAAAATTACAAATATATTGAAGAAATGTTGAATTTGATGCAATTCAAGTAATTGTCATCATCAGTTATCAAGCATTTTATGAGCTCAGAGGAGTTATTATTATAGAAGTTGACATAGAGACACAGACCTTGTTTAGTGGAACTATTTCTCAAGACTATTATACCTGGCTAGTTTTCCAATGTTATAACAGGCTATCAATTAGTCTAGATAAGGCAACCAAAAGCCCATTAACACTTAACTTAAAAAGTGCTTTACATAAGACATACTTGATTGGTTTGTGGTTAATAGAGCTTAAAATGAGGCAATTTGTGGATGGCACTTGAGTCATTATTGGTTGTCAAACCCCATTAAAGATAATGGTAGGGTTGAGGATAAGGGATGAAGAATGAAAACCTGATCTGTGTAATCTTTGGGATTTTTAAAATCATTTATTTAGCTCTGTGTTTACATCAACTGTAGAGCAGATACTTTTGTGGCAGTTGAATGGAGAACCAAGTTACGGGATTGCATCTCTGTGTCGTCTCATGTTTTATTTTAATTGAAAAGGGCCTCCATTGAGATTTAAATATAATCTGAAAAGTGCAGGTGGTTAGGACATTTATCTAACCCTAGGCCACTTGAGCTGTTTGCAAATAACACCATTGTTGTTTAATTCCAGAGGAAAATGCAGGTTTTACTGAGGGAAATCAAGTTACTTGGTGTGTACAAAGAAAAATTACCCCCTAAAGATTAAATTTTATTTATGCAAGGCTGAATTACTGAAAGAAGGATATCTTTATGTCAGAGCCAGCAGAGGATTTTTATAGCTGTCACGCTTTATTTTGTCATTGTTCAAGCAAAACTTACCTAACACTCTGTGATGGCCAGTGATAAATTGAACCTATGTTGTTAACTAGGTAAAAGCATGTGCCGCAGTCTTTTCTGCTGTGTGTTAAGGGATCAAGTATTACCTGCCCACCACAGACTGCCAAGGTGAAGGATACTCTGGGACTGGACATTTGTTTGCTTGATATTATTCCACTTCGATTGAAGACCAAATAACATTTGTGTTGAGTAAATAAGCAATGTAGGCTTAGCATTTTGCTTTGATTTGGGGGGTTAAGTTTGAACAAAGGGGAGAAATAACTTTTGCTGCATGGTGAACCTTGGGAGATAGTCAAACTGGACAATGCCTGTTCAGTTAAGTGGACGCTTGGGTAGTCACTTCAGTATGCTCGTGAATTAAAAGGATCAAACTTATGTTATAATCATTCACCACAAAACAGAGGTGATATTTTCATTCTAAGATTTTCAAAGAAAGAGGACAAAAGTTTTGAAGCACCTGTTATCTTGCCATGGAGGAGATGTGTATATGCCAGCCTTGTTTAGCAGCACTGATGTGTTGTTACTGCATGAATGTGGGCAGTGTGATCCTGTATGCAGGTGAGCTAGGAATGGTTCGGGAGGGCGGAGCTTAGTTAGGGGCTGATCTTTTAAGCTGTTCGTAGGTTTTGAACGTAAATGTAAAACATTTACATTTCTGGACTTTTCAAGTCTAAAATCCACAGTTTCACGTGTATGTTACTGAAGATATCTTTGAAGCCAAATCCACAAGTTTGTGTTGATCTGATTGATGTTGCCTTCACATCTGCGTGTATCACCTATTATCAGTTCATACTCCACTTAATCTCAGTACACGACCACAGCTCATAAGAAGCAGATTGCACTATTTGTCCCCTGGTTGATAAGGCTTTGAAGATGTGAAATTATTGGTGATTTGTGAAACAAACTCGATTTTGTGGTTTCTAAGTTGATGTGAACTAAGTAGTAATTAGCAAACAAATATTTTTCACAGTAATAAAAGACCTGTCAAAACAGTTGATAACAAGGAATGTGAGCATGAAAACAATTCAAGAATTTTGGCATAGACAACATTTATCAAAAAGTAAATTTAGAAATCTTTCCATGTTAAAGATGGAATGAGATGGTTTGTCCCATTCAGTAAGTTAGCTCACTGAGTAGTCAGAGGGAAAAAAGGCTTTCCTCCCCCCTCCATGTTGACTGACTACGCTGAATTGAAAGAAGTGACCCAAAGTCCTATTTCTAAGCGGATATGAATGTTTTATGTTTGTAATTCAATATTTTAAATCTGTTGGATCTGTAAATGCTTTGGAAGGGGAAAGGCATTGTAATAAACCCAAATAGGCCACTTTAAATTCTCAGTGTGCTTAATTTAAGGCATTCCAGATATTTACTTTTGTTGCAGCAGAAGAAATAGTAAAAGTTTTTCAATGAATTAAAAAACTGTGGTTTTTATATTGATACTCACATTTTAATTTTTCTTTAAAATAACACATTTGCATTGTCTCTATTTACTTCCAGACTTACTGACAAGCACGCTGGTAACATTTGAAGAATTTGTTTGTGACTACAACTACCTCGATGTGACGTGCCCCAAGGAGACGGCCATCAGTATCCAGTTTGCCCACTATGGTAGACAGGTCCCAAACTCAGAAATGTGCCCCCCACGTGCCAAGTTATCCGATTTTTATGGCAATAGTCGTGCAGATACAAACTGCCTGGCAACTTCATCATTAGAGGTGAGTGTCTACATGTGCTTTGAAATCTTTATATTTTTTTCATTTTAGGAAAAAAGTATAAGCACTTGGGATGATGAAGGCTATTTTGACAACTGAGTTAATACACCTCAGCATCAACAAAAATTATTTCCAACCAAAATACCCAAAGGATGAGCAAGTTTCACCGCCTTTTAACATTTTTATAACAGACTACTAGCGCACCCTGTTGTTGGAAAGTAGGCAGATGGGATTTTCTGGATAGTGAAAGTTTTCTGGTTGGAACCCTGTGCATCATTTATGTCATCTTTGAATGACATTACTTAACATTTTCCTACTGTCTTGCTGGGAGTTGAGGGCTAGAATTTCTTTTTTTAAATATATTTGATATGTCAGCTTACAGGCATGCTTTAGAATAAATGTGTTGCATGTGTAAAGGTTATTTGGGTAGTTTAATCATTCCTTTAGAAGGTAAAGATAAAATAGTTTAGTGAGTGGTAGGAAAATACACATTACCTATCAGTTGAATCATTGTTTGTTTTCTACACTGATATCTGCCTATTCTCAAATGAGGAAGTTGAAGTTGAAGCATACATTACAGTAGCGAAAAAAGCTGCTGAGTAATTACCAATTTGTGCAGTTATTGATACCATACAGTAATTTTCTTGTAACAGGATATCTCATCATTATAACTTGTTGATCCTTCTATTATAAAGGTAATTTTAGATATGAAATTGCTCATTAACTACCAAAGAATTGCCCCTTTGTTGGATGAATCTTCCAAATTTGACAGTTTTTTATGATTCCCTTAAGTATGCTATTCATATGAAATCTACGGGATCCATCTATATATGTGCTACTTATGTAGAAATAGTCTTTCATTTCTCACATCTTTCCAACTGTCATGAGTGTTAATTTGTTATGTTCAAGGCTTAACAGTTGACAAAATGAACAGACCTTTAAAATACTCGTAGTGGTATTTGCATGCACTGACATCAGCACAACCGTGGACTTCTCAGGAAATTAAAGGATAACCTTGGAGTCACGTCACCCTAATGCAGACACAGAAAACTTGTCAACTCGATTTGTTGTTTTAAGCCATTTTGCTATGGTCATGACTCTCATATTGATTTTTCTGCACAAAATATTACCAGAGTTTTAAAACGAGTGTTAGATTAAAGATTAAAGAAAGTGAAAATCGGAGTTATATCTGTTGATCATTGATCTAAAATCTTTGCCAAACATAAATTATGCTTTATTAGATGTGCTCTTGCCTGATCCTAGCAACACCTGTGAAAGTCATCTTTCATGGTATAAATGTCAAGCTCATTTTGCAAAATTTCTGTATCTGCATCACAGCTCATGTGAAATTTCATGTCTGAAAAGATCCTTTTGTTTTTTCTTGGTAATAAAACATTTTCTTGCAAAGTCAGTCCTCAAGGGGCTGGTCCTTAAAAACCTTTTTTTGGAGAGCAAATAAAGATTTTAGTGAAAACCCCATTCTTTACCTTGTAAAATAAATATCTAGATATGCCTGGCAAAGTGGCAAGTTTTTCTAAAATGAAGATAAAGTACAATCTGGGGAATTACAAATTTAACTGCTTACCAAAGTAATGCATGCCAATTACTGAGGTCTTGCCAGACCTATCATTTTGTTCCCTGAGACAGCTCGTTCATCAGTTGAAGTATTCTTGTAGCTGATGGTTATGTTGAAAACTAGTAGTGACACCTATTGCCAGACTGTAGCATTACTTCAAGATCTAAAGTAGTGCATTCACAGATATAACTTATTAAGGGTTTTTTTAAAAAAAGTATGGAACTAGAGGCCTGATGAAATAATAGGAAAGGGTTGGGTGATGAGACATTTATGTATGATAATAACAATCTGTCATGTTTGAAATATTGGTGTTACTAAATGCCATCTAATGCATAAAAAGTACTTTAATACTTATACGGTCATACATAAAATTGGTGCTAAATTTAAAATTGCTTCCACTGAATTCAACTCATGTTTGGAGGTTGGGGGGGGGGGGGGGCAGCATTTCCAGATTTTAAATTGTTATTTTTATTTAGCTGTGGATCAAAATGTATTGAAATAATTTAGAATTCTGTTTGATCCTCAGTCCTTGAAAGTCAGTATTGATTTGTGAGCACTTATCCCTTGCACCACAATGTCCAGCACAACACAGGGCCAGCTGTTGACAGTGCTCTAGGGAGCTGGGGCAGCTGGTCCTGATTGATTTAACAGCTAATGAGTCTGTGGAGGGAGTCACAAAGGAACTGAGGAGCACCTGCTCCACATAGTTGAGCACAAAACCAAAGGAATTACTAACTGCATTCTTTAGAGGTTTTGGTCACACCAAACACAATATTGTAGTCTGACTAACATTTGATATTTCCTCACTTGACTAACAAGAAAACTGTTTTAAGTTCCTGATGTTCAGTTGTAATTCTCTCTCTCTCTCTCTCTGGCTTTGCAGTTGTACCAAATTGTCTGAACTTGTTTGGTGTTTGGAATAAGATAATGATTATGATGGAAATGAATGCTGGTCATATATTTGCTCACCCACAGAGGCCTTGACTTAATTAGTTCTTATTGAGCGCATTCAGAGCAAGTTGATCCGCAGACTAAATATGGCCGACTCACTTAAAAGCGATGCCGCTAATTCCCTGACGATCTCCCCACCTCCACATGTGCCATTAAACGGATTAAATCTCAGCTCCGAGGTTTAATTGTTAGGCCCTGCAGCGACAGTGTGTGTGGAGGCAGGGAGACCATCAGGGAATTAGTGGCATTGCTTTTATGTGGGGATGGTCAGATCAGTTAGTCCGCGGATCATCTGTACTGAATGCGCTCATTGCCTAAAGCCCTTTGATTCACTTTATCACCAGATTGGTTAATCTGATTAATAGAACTAGACTGGCTGAATGAAGTTGAGAGCAGGTTGCTAGGTCATAGTGGGCTTCATTATTTGCTTGGATCACTCAGTGTGTGACATAGCAAGTTTAAGTTTCAAAGACATATTGGTGTATGAGGTTCAGAAAAGATCTTTTTTTTTCCAAATAAACTGAAATTTCTTCAGTCACTGCAAAGCTAGAGGGGTCTGGAAAAAGTTGGGAAATGTTAAATTTCCCTGCATTCTGGTAAAATCTCAGCACAATTTTTGTATGTATTCTCCTAGTCCCTAAGAAAGACACCCCCCAAAAATAAATAAATAAATAAATAAATAAATAAAATCAATTTTATCCATACATTTTTAAATGTGACAGTCTAACAAATGGACTAGAAAGTTGGCTTTATTTTTACTGATATCTCATTATTATAGAGATGTCAGAAAGTAATTTCAGTCAATTCAATACAAATGAATGCAGATATTTTTATGCTTATGAAAGCAGGGTTTATTTTCTACAGTTTTATCTGTGCTCTCTTAGGAATAAAATATATTCAAATTATATCAAAGATAAGACCTGTTCTTGGCTGGAAGGGTATAATTTTGGTTAGTAATTGTTTTTGAAATTGTTTAAGTGTGTGAAGGAGTGGTGCAATTGTTAACAAAAAACAGGCATTAGGGAGCTCACAGACCGACATCTTTAGTTTCATTGACTGGAAAGCAATGGGGTGTAGTATATTAAACTAACATTATCTTTATGACTGTACAAGACACTAAGTCAAAACAGCTGTGACTAGTTGAAAAGTTAGGACTAAGGGAAAAAATTCTGTGTGGCAAATTGTGAAAATTATTTCAGTCCAATGAAAGGAGCAATATGAAGCTAGATTTTTGTTTGATTGAGGTGTGAGTGAGAAACCAGAGGGAGAAAACTCATATTTCTTTCATACTGAAAGGAGAGGAAGTTGATAATATTTGACAGCAACAAATATCGCGGCATCATTTATCATCCTATTGGCAAAACAACTGCAACAAAAGGGGTCACAAATTTGATTAAACATGAGAAAATATGAGGAAACTTTAAAAGCTGGAAGTCCTTTGTCCTTGTGCAGTCTTACTCTGTCTACAGTCTCCAGATGTTTATGGATTGTATTAATTGTGTTTGCTTTTGATTATTCCATGTATCCAGCTCAGTGAAGTCTCACTCTGAAGCAGACTAACTTTGCCGCCTTTTAGTGACCTGTAAGGTCATTCTTTCTTGAGGGGGTACTTAAAATGGGTACAATTGAGCCCATTACATGTGCTGTATTTATCTTAAGAAAAAAGTCATTATTATTGCATCAACAGCTGATTCTTTCTTGTAAATCCATTGCAGCATTGCCAAATATGTTTCAGGGAAAAAAAAAGTTTTTTTGAATTTTTTCTCATCTGTATCCCCCTCAGAGATTAGTTGTGCCACCTTGCAATCTGTGGTCAGTGTGAGGCAGTGACTTTAGTTATCCCAGTGGACGCTGATAAGACCAGATCCTATCTCCTGACCACAGCTGAAACACCCTGGGGTGTGAGGTTGATGCTGGAAAAGAAGCAGGATCTCATAAGCACCATTTCAAGGAAGGTCCACTGTGAACACATGGTGAGGCATAAACAGCTACTTAACCAATGCCTAGTGCAGGAGAAGAAAGCTATTTAGGAGGAGACTGGTGATAATCACACAGCTGAATGGACTTCATTTGCTAGTGGCCTGAGGCCAGTTTCATCTCCTATTCCTTCTTCGTATTGGATCTAAAAGTTAGACCAGGCAAGAAAAGCTTCTCCACCTACTCTCTGGCTTAATGTGCTGTGCTGTGTTTAAGGAGAAGATTGTTGTTTAGTCAGGAGCCAGAGTGCCAAAACGCATTACTCACATATTGGAGATCAATGTCAGAAAGTTACAGCGTCTTTGGATGAGCAAGCTTATTACTGATCTCATGATTGGTTCTTGTTCAGGAATCATTGCTTCACAGCACTGGACTCTGGGGCTTATTTAGTCATCATTGTATGTGAAGGAAAGAAGTACTGAGCCACAAGGAGATATTATTGTGAAGAAGAAAATGGAGAGATGGATTATTACCAAGTGTTGTTATGTTGTTAAGGTTTTGATATTAATGGTAGGTAGAAAATAGCTTCCTATAGTAAGTGCTTAGTTATGCGTAGCATCCAAAAGTGTTATGGTCTTGTACATTGTGGATATTTATAGGATGTTATAAACATACTAGTAGTGGATGTAATGGCATGCTTAATTTTTAATAAATATACAGATATTGATCAGAATTTATGTCTAAATTGGTAGAAGAAATTGTTGAAATATTGTCTTCTTAATTTTCAACATATTTCTCTATAAATAATTATACACTTAACCTTTAGAGATAACATTGTTGCATGAAATACTTATGTGTGTATATATCTAACTTATCAATACCTGCCCTATAAACTACAGGAACATGAGTTAGTTATTCAGTGTCCAGTGGTACTGGTTAATAATTGATTCCTACGGGACTATAGCTCCATTGTTTCAGCACACAGTTTCAATTATTGCCTCTGTGTTCATTTGTGTAAGTATAGGTTTGATTTGTTATTTCAAGTTATTAGCTGGTATGCAGGTGATGCCTGGTTCAGTAAACTTGGGCCTACATGATAACAGCTCATATCTGTTAACACGAGGACCTAAAAGTAGATTTGCAGGGAAATTATTTAAACTCATGGAATGCAATTAATGCTAGAGAATAAGCTTGCTAGACTCACAGTCAGGGTCTACCTGAATATACACCAAGAGCAGGGAGTAAATGCTTGTTGCTGTTTAACAAAGGTTAAGCATCCTTTAATTGGCACACCTTTAACAGGAGTAAACTGAATTTAGAAAGGTAGAACTGATTATGTGGTTTGATAGCTTCAGGGACTAAACCGTTTAGCCACTGTTGTAAAGTTAAGGTAATTTTATAGTCAGGGGGAAAGAAGACGAAACAGACATACAATTATCACAATCAGATGGTGATGTATTATTAAGTGGGAAGGGATAGGCTGGCTAGTGGGACAGTCATATAGAGGTGGGAACGGCCATTATCTGAAGTGGCCTGAATAGAGGCTAGCTGGCGGACAGCAGCATTTGATGTTGGAAGTAGGTTTGCCTTTTTATTTCAAGTGATAGGGTTGAACCTCTGTGTCCCTGGAACATCATCTTGGAAGGCAAAATGAAAGTGAATTTGTACTGTTGTGCAATAGACTGCAGTTTGACAGAACTTGAGAGAAAATGGCCCAAACAGTATACATGGTTAAATTCTGTCAGCTTTCATTTATTGTTGCACTGCACTCACTAATCTGCCATTATCTATGCCCAACTATATCTTCTAAATCCAGCAAAATCTTGCTTGATTTTACCCTAATTCACAGGACTTTATGTAATCCCTGATGATGTCCATTAGTAAAGACACATTCAAATGAAAGGACTAATGCTCCTGTCTAGATATACGTAATTCATAATCATATTAATCTAAAGTGCTTTTTCATTGAAATGCTGCATGCGACCTTTAGTTACTATTATATATTAAATCTTGCTCATTCATGTGCTAGGTCCAGCTGGTCACTGGTTCCCACTGATAACTTTATACCTGTGGTCAGTGTGGTCAGTTACTGTGTGACTATGTGTTAACATATTGGTGAAAAGCTGATTTACCCACATTAACACAGGCTTGACAGGAAAGGAACTAATCTTCCCTAATGTGCACCAAATATTTTCTGTCATCTTGATAAAATCAATCAACATTGCCTGAGAAACAGAGCAGATAAAGAACTTTGAAATGAAGTTGAACTTCCCCTCCCTTTTGAAATCTGAGGGATTTCATGATATGAAGGTTTGTCAGCCTATAAGAGCTGGTTTAGTCCAAAATTGACAAAATCCTTTAATATAAATTTTCAAGTCAATTTTAAGACCACATAAATGTCAACAGTGCAAATGTAACTAGTCAGAAAATTTATCTTAATTTTGTAGATTAATGGATTTCTAGGGACCAGATGTAGCGAATTGGCAGTTTTCAGATTAAGAAAAAATTAACTTTCACATAGTTGGTAGTACTGAGACTGAGTAAATAATACCCCGTTCACACCACGCACAGTTATCCGGATAAATTGCGAATTAGGTCAAAATTCGAATAAATGCAGTAGTGTGAACGCAAGAGGATTTTTGTAATGCGCATTTTCAAAATCCTGCAAGCGAGGTGGATTTCTAAGCGCGATCCGGATAACTTACCGGAATCGACACCTGTACAGATCTTACTGCGCATGTGTGCAGATAAGTGCGGGTATCTATGAACGCTTGTTTATTACTTTAGCGATTGCACCAAACGTATTTGGGGGTCACCACTCACTACAACATGAGGAAACAAACTTATTTTGCCATCTTATACTTCTCAAGAATGCTGGAATGTCTTTAGAGTTGCATAAATGTCGTCACAAATTGTTGTTGGTATTTTAAGATTTCCTGTGCGGCGCATGCGCGAGTGTTCAAAACAGGAAGTTAAACCTGAAATTTTCAACGTGTAATTCGGTTTCGCTTAGCGTGTGTGAACGCAATACCGAATCGAATTCCTAACGAAAAATTCGGATTATAGAAATGCGCATTTTTGCAACTGTAGTGTGAATGCAGTATAAGATTTAAATTCTTGGTTCCTAATGGTCTGTGAAGTCAGGTAGGGAGGCCAGACATCCTGACCTTTTAAATGGCCAGCTCATTGTGAGGTCAAATATGTGGTCAGCTTTGAATGTTAACCAGGGTAGTGTGGTCCAGCTCTTCTTTCACATGAATGACAGGAAACCACCGGCTTCTTATTAACCCTTGACATGGACTGACAGGCTGTATGCTATGATCTGGATAAGTGAGGGATCTTCACACACCTTTCTTAGACCACATTACCCTTATAAAGGCAAAGAGGGAGGGATTCACACCTGTGAAAAAGAATTATAGGTTTGAATAGTGAAAAGGATTGACCAAAGTACAAAAAAAGATTGAAATGAACAAAGTCCACCTAAGGTCAAGTACCTAAAAACCAAGATCATTAACTGATGAAAAACTGCCCCCTTTTGAATTTCTAATTAAAACAGCTGGCTCCAGATAGTTGAGGAAATCAGCCAGAGAAAGAGAGCTTTGATTTGTCAGGTGAATGAAGGGAAAGTAAATGTTTAACCATTTGATGGACAGAAACCAGCTGTAATAAGAGGTGTTGAGTAAGGAGGATGAAGTTGTCATGATAGTTATCATAAGTTGAAAATTTCCAAATATAGAATGATTTTTCAGTATTTTTTTATCATTTCTGTTTTTATAATGCATTTATTGTCAAAAGTCAGTTTTTTAGTTTGCATAAAACCTTTTTTATTCTAGCTTAATATCCCACAGTTTCTTCTCACTCACTTTTTAACTGCAGCTGTGAACAGCTTGGTGTGCAGTTAATTTAAGATAAATCAAGTTATTTGAGAGGACAGCTAGATAAAAATAGACCATCAGTGTCTCCTTATCTGTTGTGTACAGATCATATATCTTGAAGTGGTTCTAAGATTACGTAAACTATGAAATAAGATGTGTATAGCTGTGGAAAAAGCTGGCAAATGTTGAATACATGTACATTTGGTCACTGCTCCTTGATAACATTTCAAAGTCTATCTTACTTTTGCAACCATGGTGCTACAGTGATGTTGGAAGGCAATTTATTCCAGTTAATTTTGTTGACTATATTACCTCATGTTTGATAAAACCGCCTGCAGTGTGTGCTTGTTTTTGTTAGAATCAGATCTGGCTGAACTTTTTGTATATACTTTTTGGTGCACTTGACAAGAGGCCTGGCAATCTACACCCACTAACCCCTGCAGTTGTATTAGGTTGCAGTGTATGCAAGCAGCTTGCCATTGGGAGGCACACCTGATACTTAAAACAATTCTTTGAAGAAATTGACAATTTGTCTGCAGGCAAGATGCATGAACGAATGGGTTGTTTTATTTTCTGTGTTTTTCAAGATGAACGGCAGTAGAATGCTGGTGACTCATTTCTTCCAGTTTTGATCTGATTAAAAATACTGCCAGTTTCAGTCCAATAACAAGTTTTAACTGTTGATTCATTGGATGAGGATATCCTGAGATCCAAGTCAAAGGAAATAGTTGTTTAAACAGTGGTAGTGGAAGTCAGTTTATTTTATGAACTAAACATAACTGATAAATATGTTATGGCAGGGATTTTGAGGGCAAATCTTTTAATATCCCTGTGATAAAAAGATTAAACATGCTAAAGTTTAGTAAAGGGTTTTTAGACCCAGAGAATTCGATTATAAATTGGGGACTATCATGTGAGGACTTGGGTATAAATGTTGTTAAGTTTCCAACACAGTGCTTATTGTTTTTGATGCTTTGGGTCACAGCATGTCACTTCACATTGTTCCAGTCTACATCACTATCACATGGTGTGCCAGTTGCACATTGCTCATTTCTTATTTAGAATACAATACTGTGATTCAATGCAAGTGACTTTTTGGTTACCAGGTGGTAGGGCGTCCCCACTGTGTAATAAGTTTAACTCCTTGTTTTTTTTCATTCCATGGTTACACTGTTATTTTGAGTATACTTCTGAAACCTTAGGATTTATGTACACTTAAATGTCAACTGCCATCTAATTACTGCCTTTGGGAAAATGAAATAATTGAAACCCATAGAAAAAACTGATTAATACTTTTCTTTCAAATGAAGTGAATTCAAATTAGATCAGCTTTTCATTCCACAGTATGGACAAGGCATCTTGGTCTAAAACAATAGAATGATCAGGTATAAATATGTATATGCTTTATTCATTGTAACGTGTGTATCTACATGGATAGATGAAAATGTATTAAAAAAAAAAAAAAAAAAAAAAAAAAAAAAAAAAAAATATATATATATATATATATATATATATATATATATATATATATATATATAATTCATATTCATCAACGTATAACTTATGATTACTGTTGTTATGTTGCAGGTGCTATTAGATGTCTGTGAAAACAAACGCCACTGTTTTCTCCATGCCACTACCACCACATTTGGAAAGGACCCCTGTCCCGGCACCAGCAAATACTTGGAAGTGGCTTACAAGTGTGTTCCTAGTAAGTCAACTGTAAGAAAAAAATTGAATCTACTTAAAAAAGCACAGTTCGGGGTTTTAATCTTTAGTTTAAATCTGCTCACTCTTGAATTAGACATCTTGTTTGTAAAAATAAGCAGTTGTGATTAATGATATGTATTTATTGCTCACCCCAGTATGATTACAGTGTAACCCCTCAGGAAATTTCAATTAATGCAATGTGAATGTGTCAATAAATGTTAAGAAATCAGTTCCAATTACTGAGTCACTTAGTTACTCTCCTGTCAAAAACAACATTTTGTATTCCTGTGAGATTTTCTTTAATTGATTTGAGGCAATGTTCCCTTGTTCTACACAGATTAAATTGAATCAGAAGGCAATGATTTGCAAAGTGTTTCTTAACTATAGAATTATTACCCATGAAAAATGTGCAAAATTTTTTTCATGTTATACCCAATCCATAAAGTGCATGCATATGCATAAAACTCTGTTCAGATTGGACTATATATTTGAAAATAAAATCATATTTTTCAGAGGAGTTTCGTAGCAAAGTTGCTTGTGAAAATCAACAAATGCATCTCAGGTGCCAGAAGTCCACCAGGATATTTGTTTATAAAGCAATGTTTGGGAGGTTTTCCCAGGGTCACTCTGAGTGCCCCAGCACTGGGATTGGAGACACAGGTAAAACTTATTAAAGCCTTGTCACACTGAGTGGTGTACTCTAGCAATAAGGTTATACCATACACTTTGAGACATTGGCTGCTCAGTAGCAGGGCTATTACTGATGAGGTCCACCAATGGAACCTCTGAACTGGGTATAATATTTGCCAACCAGGTAACTGAACTGAACTGAACATTAGGAAGGGCACTTGTGGAGAACGGGTGAAACGGAATAAAATTCCATTTAGTGTAATTACAGTTAGGCTCTCCCAGAGTGTACCGGTACAGACTGTATTGTTTACATGTGTAGCTCGATAAGAAAAATGCTCTAGACACTGCTTAGAAACAAGAGTATTTTTAACATGATCATTGGAATGTTAAGTCCTCTAAAAATATCACTACTTTGATACTTAGAATTGCTGGTAAAGTCCTGTTGCATGGTGGGGAAGGTTCACGTCTTTTTTTATTTTTCACACTTCAGAATAAGCATATATGCTGGCATTTTAAAGTATGGTTTTAACTTGTGCCATATTTTGACATATTTAGATTTTAAACGTTTTGATAAAATATCAGCTGAAAAGGTACATGTTCAGGTTATTTTATACATTTTTTGTAATGAATCATTTTCTTAATTGACGTTCTTTGTGTTATTTGAAGAGCCCAAACTTGATTTCCATTTTATCATTACAAAGCAATTGAAGTGATTTTATGCACTTTATATGCAGCTGCAGAGCCTTTTTAATTCCATACTCAAAGATCTTAATTTAGTTCCTATCTTGTAATTTTCTGGTCTGCTACATTGGTTGGGATAGGATTTCACATTGTGCAAACAGATCTCGGCACAATTGTAGCATTCATCAGAAGGAAAAGGGGGAGAGGCAGTGTCTTGTAACATTCATAAGGGACCTGATTGTTGGAACCCTGTAAGCTGATCATGCCCAGATGAAATCAAGCACAGTGTCATGAGCAAGTGAAGAAATTTAGTTTTAAGGGTAAATCCCACAGAATTAAGTAGAAAAAATTAAATATTTATAAATGCGTTCAGTGCCATTGCAAGAGTGATATATGCAATAAAATTTTAAGGAGAAATATGGTTTGCTAAATTTTTCTTGAAATTTATAATTATCTGAAACCCTTGCATTCTCTTTATTTGGTGAAGAAATGTGCAACATTTCATCCACACTGTTTAAAAAGATGATGCTTGACTTGGTCTGTTAGTTCAAAAACCTTGAGGGCATTGCAAGGAAAGCCTCATCTACTCCATTTATTCCATGCCTCTAAACTGATGTGACAGCAAGTATTTGAAATATTAAAAATGTTACTACAGAAATTTGCCAAAACACATACATCATTATGTACACTAAAAAAAGACATTATTGCCAGTAAATAAAGAATATCCCACAGTAAATAAAAGCAGTTTGCGTTATAATATATAGCGACCAGGTGTGCTCCGTGTTAAAGTAAACATGATTGATGTTAGCACAATATCTCACCTGTCTGGATGCCTGTGTAAAACACAGGCACAGAAGCCATATCAACTGAGGGAGACTAATGATTATGCACTGCCACAGCTGGAAGTCTAGTCAAAAAAAAAAAAAGAAAAAGAAAAAAAAAACATTTTGTGTACTGATGTTTTATGTTCTGGGTTGTGTGTAACTTAAGATGAAGAAGTAGCTAGCCTCTGCATCAATTAATTGCTGAAGGTATACTGATTTCTGAACTTAATTTCATTGATATGGTTTTTAGTGAAGCCAAAGTAGAATGATAATATTGCTTTCATATTAACTATTGCTAAAATAATGTATCAGATAACAGCTAGGAATGTAAAAAATGTCAAATGGATTTGGACCGAAATTAAAGAACAGTAGAGCTTTATCTCAAATTTCTGCTTTGTTTTTCCAGAATGCCAATCAGAAGCTGCCTTAGATCAGGTTGTGAAAAGGTGCCATGGGCGTCGCCATTGTGCCATGACTGCAAACACTCGTAACTTTGGAGAACCGTGCTCACCAGGGACATATAAATACCTGATTGTTGTTTACACATGTAGTAAGCAGGACTTTCACTTCTTGAGCCACTGCCCTACAGCACAGTTAACTTACATTTAAAAAGAGTAAATCATGCTTAATTTATCTGCCTATGAAAAAAATACAAATGACATGAGACAAGTGGTATATGAGTATGCAGTATTCAAAGATGTAAAAAACATCAATCATGTTTACTTTAACATGGATGTAAAAAAGATACATTAAAAGTTGAGGTATAATTTTTTATGTACAGACACAGATGTGTCTGTACATATAGCCATCATCTGCGTNCAACCTACATCACTATCACATGGTGTGCCAGTTGCACATTGCTCACTTCTTATTTAGAATACAATACTGTGATTCAGTGCAAGTGACTTTTTGGTTACCAGGTGGTAGGGCGTCCCCACTGTGTAATTAGTTTAACTCCTTGTTTTTTTTTTTTTTCATTCCATGGTTACACTGTTATTTTGAGTATACTTCTGAAACCTTAGGATTTATGTACACCTAAATGTCAACTGCCATCTAATTACTGCCTTTGGGAAAATGAAGTGAATTCAAATCTACATTAAATAAAACAGCTTTTTATTCCACAGTATGAAAAAGGCATCTTGGTCTAAGACAAAAGAATGATCAGGTGTAATATATATTGTTCATATTCAATAATGTATAACTTATGATTACTGTTGTTATGTTGCAGGTGCTATTAGATGTCTGTGAAAACAAACGCCACTGTTTTCTCCATGCCACTACCACCACATTTGGAAAGGACCCCTGTCCCGGCACCAGCAAATACTTGGAAGTGGCTTACAAGTGTGTTCCTAGTAAGTCAACTCTAAGAAAAAAAATTTAATCTACTTTAAAAAAAAACACAGTTCAGGGTTTTAATCTTTAGTTTTAATCTGCTCACTCTTGAATTAGACATCTTGTTTGTAAAAAAAAGCAGTTGTGATTAATGATATGTATTTATTGCTCACCCCAGTATGATTACAGTGTAACCCCTCAGGAAATTTCAATTAATGCAATGTGAATGTGTCAATAAATGTTAAGAAATCAGTTCCAATTACTGAGTCACTTAGTTACTCTCCTGTCAAAAACAACATTTTGTATTCCTGTGAGATTTTCTCTAATTGATTTGAGGCAATGTTTTCTTGTTCTACACAGATTAAATTGAATCAGAAGGCAATGATTTGAAAGCGTTTCTTAACTATAGAAATATTACCCATGAAAAATGTGGAAAATTTTTGTTATGTTATACCCAATCCATAAAGTGCATGCATACGCATAAAACTCTCTTCAGATTGGACTATATATTTGAAAATAAAATTATATTTTTCAGAGGAGTTTCGTAGCAAAGTTGCTTGTGAAAATCAACAAATGCATCTCAGGTGCCAGAAGTCCACCAGGATATTTGTTTATAAAGCAATGTTTGGGAGGTTTTCCCAGGGTCACTCTGAGTGCCCCAGCACTGGGATTGGAGACACAGGTAAGGGACCATTCCCAGACCCTTTTGTACTAACTGCAGATCGATCTATCTCAGAGGGGATTCTCATGATAGGGGCTTAGACTGCATTCCCACAGATTTAGATTGATCCATCTGGATCGACCTAACTCCCTGGTCGTTCACGCTAAATTGCTGTCAGCTGAGCGTGCAGGGAAGTTAATTACCCCCTTACAGCTTTTAGTAGGCAGGACAGACATTTAAGCCGGCTAAGATGACAATAACCTAGTGAGACTCTCCATGGAGATAGATCGATCTAAAATCTGTGGGAATGCAGTCTTAGTTGTCTGTCACGCCTACTGAAGTTGCTAGAGGGTAATTAATTATCTTTTAAGCTGAAGGCAATTTAGCATGAAACCCCTTGGAGATGGATCGATCCTGTTAGATTGATCTAGGAATGGGAACCCAGTCTTAGACTTATTAAAGCCTTGTCACACTGAGTGGTGTACTCTAGCAATAAGGTTATACCATACACTTTGAGAGATTGACTGCTCAGTAGCCGAGCTATTACTTATGAGGTCCACCAAAATGGAGCCTGTGCACTGGGTATAATATTTGCCAACTAGGTAACTGAATGGAACATTAGGAAGGACACTTATGGAGAACGGGTGAAAGGGAATAAAATCCCATTTAGCGTAATTACAGTTTGGATCTCCCAGAGTGTACCGGTACAGACTGTATTGTTTACATGTGTAGCTCGATAAGAAAAATGCCCTAGACACTTCTTAGAAACAAGAGTATTTTTAACATGATCATTGGAATGTTAAGTCCTCTAAAAATATCACTACTTTGATACTTAGAATTGCTGGTCCTGTTGCTTGGTAGGGAAGGTTCACATCTTTCTTATTTTTCACACTTCAGAGTAAGCATATATGCTGGTATTTTAAAGTATGGTTTTAGTTTGTGACATGTTTAGACATATTTAAATTTTAAACATATTTTGATAAAATAGCAGATGGCTAAAAAGGTGCATGTTCAGGTTATTTTTTACATTTTTTGTAATGATTCATTTTCTTAATTGACGTTCTTAATGTTATTTGAAGAGCCCAAACTTGATTTCTATTTTTTATTACAAAGCAAGTGAAGTGATTTTATGCACTTTATATGCAGCTGCAGAGCCTTTTTAATTCCATACTCAAAGATCTTAATTTAGTTCCTATCTTGTAATTTTCTGGTCTGCTACATTGGTTGGTATAGGATTTCACATTGTGCAAACAGATCTCGGCACAATTGTAGCATTCATCAGAAGGAAAAGGGGGAGAGGCAGTGTCTTGTAACATTCATAAGGGACCTGATTGTTGGAACCCTGTAAGCTGATCATGCCCAGATGAAATCAAGCACAGCGTTACGAGCAAGCGAAGAAATTTAGTTTTAAGGGTAAATCCCACAGAATTAAATAGAAAAAATTGAATATTTATAAATATTTTCAGTGCCATTGCAGGAGTGATATATGCACTAAAATTTTTAAGGAGAAATATGGTTTGCCAAATTTTTCTTGAAATTTATAATTATCTGAAATCCTTGCATTCTCTTTATTTAGTGAAGAAATGTGCCATGCTTCATCCACACTGATTAAAAAGATGATGCTTGACTTGGTCTGTTAGTTCAAAAACCTTGAGGGCATTGCAAGGAAAGCCCCATCTACTCCATTTATTCCTTGCCTCTGAACTGATGTGATAGCAAGTATTTGAAATAGTGAAAATGTTACTACAGAAATTTGCCAAAACACATACATCATTATGTACACTAAAAAAAAAGACATTATTGCCAGTAAATAAAGAATATCCCACAGTAAATAGAAGCAGTTTGCTTTATAATATATAGCGACCAGGTGTGCTCCGTGTTAAAATAAACATGATTGATGTTTGCACAATATCTCACCTGTCTGGATGCCTGTGTAAAACACAGACACAGAAGCCATATCAACTGAGGGAGACTAATGATTATGCACTGCCACAGCTGGAAGTCTAGTAAAAAAAAAAAAAAAAAAAAAAAAAAAAAAAAAAAAAACAGCATATTGTGTACTGATATTTTATGTTCTGGGTTGTGTGTAACTTCAGATGAAGAAGTAGCTAGCCTCTGCATCAATTAACTGCTGAAGGTATACTGATTTCTGAACTTAATTTCATTGATATGGTTATTAGTGAAGCCAAAGTAGAATGATAATATTGCTTTCATATTAACTATTGCTAAAATAATGTATCAGATAACAGCTAGGAATGTAAAAAATGTCATATGGATTTGGACCGAAATTAAAGAACAGTAAAGAACTTTATCTCAGATTTCTGCTTTGTTTTTCCAGAATGCCAGTCAGAAGCTGCCTTAGATCAGGTTGTGAAAAGGTGCCATGGGCGTCGCCATTGTGCCATGACTGCAAACACTCGTAACTTTGGAGAACCGTGCTCGCCAGGGACATATAAATACCTGATTGTTGTTTACACATGTGGTAAGCAGGACTTTCACTTCTTGAGCCACTGCCCTACATCACAGTTTACTTACATTTCAAAAGATAAAATCATACTTGATTTATCTGCCTAGGAAAAAAATTACAAATGGCATGAGACAAGTGGTATATGAGTATGCAGTATTCATGGTGTAAAAAAAGTTGAGTTAAAAGTTGAGGTATGTTTTTTTTTTTTTTTGCAGTTTAAGTAGGAAATCCTATTTTCCAAGGCAGTGTTCCTGTGAACAGCTCCTAGACCCCTAGCTTTCAGGCCACCATAATATTTCTTCTTAATTTTTTCTTTCAACCTGAAATCATGTCTGTTAAGTAGCATACCTCAATATTCCATGCAATTTATGCATTTTGTCCATCTTTTTATTTTAAGATGTAAAATGTCATACATCATTGTATAATTTGTGTGCTATTTGCTTCAGTTCCAAAGAGAGTCATGAAGAAGGGATTTAATATTGAATCCCTGTTTACAACGCCATCTACAACCGTCACCAGTACAACCATCCCAACAACAAAGATCAGACATGACAATCATGGAGGAAGAGGAGGAAAAAATAATGGAAGAGGAAGGTCTCCAGACTCATCACACCCTGTGGACCCCACTTCAAATCCCAGGGATGAAGACTACTTCTACGAAGGAGGAGGGAATTCAGGGCCTGAGTTGAGCGGGGAAAATAATGAGAATGAGCAGAGAGGAAGACATAATTCTGGTTATGACTTAAATAATGGAAAGTCACCGAGTGGAAGTGCAGATAAACTACCAGCATATGTCAATACAAAATTTCAACATGTGCTGTTCACTGAATCTCCATCCAGGGAAAAAGGTTGGTGTGTGAGAATCCATAACCTGAGAGAGGTTATAAGTGCTCATTGGCATTCGCTTGTTGTCCTTTAATATAAAAAAAATAAAGATAATGTTGAATAGGTCAATTTCAAATAATGTTTTGATTTGTGTAACCAAATTGATTTGATGAATTAAGCATCAGAAATTTCATTATTTTTGGTGCTTGCCTCAATATTGAATGTGAATTGTGAGCTATTGCTAATAAAATTCTTAATATTAAGATAAGTTTTTAAAAATCTTCATGCTATCTTGTTTACACTTCATCTCACATATATATTGTTTTTGCTTTCAGCCACACCTAAAGCCAGTGAACCTGCCACCACCAGTAGTCCAAACATGTCCACCTTTACCATCTGTATCAACTACACAGAGGGGATACATATAGCAGAAAGTAAAACAAGAGGAGACCGAGATCATATAGGATTTGTTGTTGACTGGATCAACACTAAACAGTATTTAGATAGTAAGTATGGGTGAAAGGTGGTTAAAAACATGCTGTGAATATAAATACTTTTATAACAGAAAGTTATTTCACCTTTGTTTTGACAGTCTGGTATTTGTAAGATTAATTCAAATTAGTTTGAAATTTTAAATAAAATGGAGATATATTGCTTCTTCGCAATTTTCTTGACAAAATTAAAACCTAGATTATGGTTATTTTAATAATAACAGTTGTGTGTGTGTGTGTGTGTGTGTGTGTGTGTGTGTGTGTGTGTGTGTTCTTACAGTTTGAATCACACTGAACATCAAATGCTGTATTTAATCTGTTGACTTTTTTCTTTACAGGTAATCAAGAAAAACTTATCCTTTATCTAGTCGTGAGCCTCTGCATAGGACTCATTTTAGTTTTACTTGCAATCATTGTTAGACTGTCTTATGTACATAGAAAACACAAAAGAGTAAAACTAGACATTTCTGAACCAGTGGCAAATCATAGACTTACCCCTAGTAGAGATCTCAACTTTGACCTCTATAGCAATTATGACAATTTTGATGTTGGCCTAGATCCAGGGCCTGTGCGATTCCATGGGAGGAACACGTTACGAGGAGATGACGAGCCAGGGGAGCGAAGTCTGAACAATTACTATGGATGATGGAGTCGATGTCCGTAGCACAAGAATGGTGCTTACAAATGTGATGGAGTATGTCTCCTTTCATGAAGGCAGCATGGTGTATTCCTCAGATCTGTGGCTCAAGTGTCCTGTTACTGTCACCAATGTGTAGCATACCTGAAGTGCTTTAGTTTCTCTACTGGGATTGGTTGCCATAGTTATAGTAGTGCCATAGTTGTTATTCACATCCTCTCCATCCAGTGCAATATTCTCTTGTATGTCCTGTAATGAATCTATGCAGTGTCTGAATATACAAGAACGTATTGATTCAGCAAAAACCTAGGTTCCAGTATTATAATACAGTTATTGGTTCAAATGCAAAACATCAATTTTGGTTATTTTTGGTAATAGATCAGGAGTCTCAGAGTTATACACTCATCTGAAGCAATGTTATATGGGAAGGTACTAAATGGTATGAGTATATATAAATACACCATTTAGTTATTTGGTTGAAATTTTGTATTTTGGACCTCTAAAGATAGGATTTGACGTGTCAGAAAGATGCTTGTGTTTGCAATTAGACTGAGACTACCCACAATCTTGTTTCATGAGTGATATTATGACACTTGCTGAGAGGAAGAGAAATTTGGGGAATCAATTGTTATTTTAGAGTGAGTTGTTAAACACCTGTTTACTGAAGTATTTATTCACAGCTTGCCATTCCCACTGCCTCAGTGTAAGGCTGTCAAGGCACAAATTTTATTAGATGTCATGGTCTTTTTCTTCAGTTTTTGTAAGCATTAATGCTTAACTGTGTGCATGTGCTTTTTAATTGGCAAGTTTTACTTAATCTTTTATACACATTTGAAGGCACACATTTACATGTTGTTTTCTTGAAAGTTACTGCTCTTCCCTATAGACTGTTCCAGATATGAAAACATATGTTACCTATGATGACCAAACAAAACATGCTACTATTTGGCCATGTATGTAGCTTATGTTTGACAGGTACTTGAAGATAAGATGAGTTTTCTTATAGATTTTAAAGAGCCCTAACTTTATTGTGAAAGTATGATAGCTAGATTTTGCAAGCCATAGGTTTTAACTTCAACCTTGCTAAAATAATTTGAAGTGTGATGGATATGACCAGGTTTTAACTTTGAACAGCATAAAGCTGATTAGTTTGACATGATATATAAAAAGTTGGATATGGGCTTTTCCGTAAACATATGTTTTTCAAATGATATATTTCAAGGCTTAGTATTGCAAGGTCATTATATGCCAGCCACAGTGTGGATGATGACCATTTCCAGACAAAGACCTACAAAACATATACCCTCTACCAGGGCGACTGATAGATTTTTTACAGATATTCACAGATATGTCTCTAGATAGATAGATGGTCATTTTGGTCCTAAGTCACCCTGTTGAGAAATCTCAAGGCTGATTACATGGCTGGTAATTGTTTGCATAACTGCTCAGGCACTGCCACTTAGCAGGTCCAGTCTAAGTCTGGGTGACAGCAATCAAGACAGTTAATTACTCTGACTTTAATCACTTGCTCTTCTGTGACAGATAAAAAAGCCTTAGACTGGTTGCGTAACAAGCAGTTATCACATCGTTGTGAAGCTCAGCTCATGCAGAGCGAGTACAAAGCCTTTGGCGTGTGCGCAGAGATAATTGTTTCCACATGGGATTTCTCAACAGGGTGACTTAGGACCAAAATGACCATCTATCTATCTAGAGACATGTCTGTGAATATCTGTAAAAAAATCTATCAGTCGCCCTGGTAGAGGGTACAAAACATACATGGCTTTATGGCTTTCATGTCAAATAAAACCACCTGTGGCACCAAATAAGTGCACACAAAGATAAATAGATGTTGCTTGGGTACAATAAATTGGAATGATCATGACAAATAATTTGGATCAGCCGAACAAACTGTCAGGCGTAATGCACAAAACTGCTTGTACCAGTTGGCCATAGTAATGCCCCAAGTTATAAAGCAAATGCATCTGGTTTTCTTTAACTTGCAAATAAGCTATCATACTTGAAGCAAAAGTTGTGTTTATGAAACATACGTAAATTCACCATTCTTTTAGCACATGTCGAACAAAATAAGTGATGCATTCAGGAGTCGGAGGCAAGCCAACTTATGTCCAATTCATAGGTCACAGTATGGCACCATGATCATGTTTTCATATTTGTTAAGGCCTATTATGCTTATGAAATTTTTTTCTTGCTTTTGCATGTATATTGAATTTGCCAATGTGTGAAACAAGTCACTAGGTGAGCAAATAATAAAACCAACAGAACTAATCCCCATTATGCTAGTGCCTTTTAAAAACTCTTCAGACATTTTTTAAAGTACAAAGAGATATTTAGAATTTTACCTCATTGTATGATAAGTGTTCATATTTAAGTCAAGTTTGTATGTATCTTCCATCAGATCATTTATTATATATATAAAATAACTGCAGTTTTACTGCCATCTTGTATTATATGAATAACATTATTTTAGATACACTTCTTTGTTATGTTTTTGATACCAGGCATGTTGATACAGATCAACACACTCCACCACGCTCATTTAACCATATCGATATTCTCCTTTTGCAAATTTCACCTTTCCAACTAATGTTCTCTTGAGTCGTACAAGTATATATTAATTTAAAGTTTTTGAAAAATCCCAAAATGTCACATGATGCGTGCCACTGTGCATCCTATTTCATCAGCTAGTGATCAGGAAGATCATTCGGCTTCTGGCACCAAGGTTTATAGAAGTTCTGGATGAGCTGTTGTTTTGTGTACCACTTCACAGGTTCAGAAGTATTGTGCAATTTACTGCACAGAGTACACAACAAATTGGTGGTCCATGACCAACCAGGAGGGATCTGATAAAAATTCTTCCATAGGAGGTGCTGTGCATAGAGGGTGTCATTCTTGTCCAAGCGTAACAAATACTGAGCCAGTTCTTTAGGAGAAGAGAAGTCCTGAGTATCAATATGCCACTCTGGTTTAATACGCAGATCACTGTAGTTGGCCCCACCTCTGGTGACTGCCACTACGTCGTAATCGACAGTATTAAAAAACTTCTCCGTGAGATATTCCTTCAGGAAGTTATTCTCAAATGCCAAATAAAATTTATACTTGCCAAATAAGGAGNTGTTCTTTGTCTGTACATTTGACAGCTTTGCTGCCTTGTTTGCAGTTTAAGTAGGAAATCCTATTTTCCAAGGCAGTGTTCCTGTGAACAGCTCTTAGACCCCTAGCTTTAAGGCCACCATAATATTTCTTCTTAACTTTTTCTTTAAACCTGAAATCATGTCTGTTAAGTAGCATACCTCAACATTCCATGCATTTTATGCATTTTGTCCATCTTTTTATTTTAAGATATAAAATGTCATACATCATTGTATAATTTGTGTGCTGTTTGCTTCAGTTCCAAAGAGAGTCATGAAGAAGGGATTTAATATTGAATCCCTGTTTACAACGCCATCTACAACTGTCACCAGTACAACCATCCCAACAACAAAGATCAGACATGACAATCATGGAGGAAGAGGAGGAAAAAATAATGGAAGAGGAAGGTCTCCAGACTCATCACACCCTGTGGACCCCACTTCAAATCCCAGGGACGAAGACTATTTCTACGAAGGAGGGGGGAATTCAGGGCCTGAGTTGAGCGGGGAAAATAATGAGAATGAGCAGAGAGGAAGACATAATTCTGGTTATGACTTAAATAATGGAAAGTCACCGAGTGGAAGTGCAGATAAACTACCAGCATATGTCAATACAAAATTTCAACATGTGCTGTTCACTGAATCTCCATCCAGGGAAAAAGGTTGGTATGTGAGAATCCATAACCTGAGAGAGGTTATACTGCTCAGTGGCAATCTCTTGTTGTCCTTTAATATAAAACATTAAAAATAATGTTGAATGGGTCAGTTTCATGTAATGTTTTGATCTGTGTTATTATATCGATTTGATGAATTTAGCTTCAAAAATTTAATTATTTTTGGTTCTTGCCTCAATATTGAATATGAATTGTGAGCTATTGCTAATAAAATTCTTAATATAAGTTTTTAAAAATCTTCATGCTATTTTGTTTACACTTCATCTCACATATATATTGTTTTTGCTTTCAGCCGCACCTAAAGCCAGTGAACCTGCCACCACCAGTAGTCCAAACATGTCCACCTTTACCATCTGTATCAACTACACAGAGGGGATACATATAGCAGAAAGTAAAACAAGAGGAGACCGAGATCATATAGGATTTGTTGTTGACTGGATCAACACTAAACAGTATTTAGATAGTAAGTATGGGTAAAAGGTGGTTAAAACATGCTGTGAATATAAATACTTTTATAACAGATTGAATGTGCAGGTTATTTCACCTTTGTTTTGACAGTCTGGTATTTGTAAGATTAATTTAAATTAGTTTGAAATTTTAAATAAAATGGAGATATATTGCTTCTTAGCAATTTTCTTGACAAAATTAAAATCTAGATTACGGTTATTTTAATAATAACAGTTGTGTGTGTGTGTGCGTGCGTGCGTGCGTGCGTGCGTGCGTGCGTGCGTGCGTGCGCGTGCATTCTTACAGTTTGAATCACACTGAACATCAAATGCTGTATTTAATCTGTTGACTTTTTTCTTTACAGGTAATCAAGAAAAACTTATCCTTTATCTAGTCGTGAGCCTCTGCATAGGACTCATTTTAGTTTTACTTGCAATCATTGTTAGACTGTCTTACGTACATAGAAAACACAAAAGAGTAAAACTAGACATTTCTGAACCAGTGGCAAATCATAGACTTACCCCTAGTAGAGATCTCAACTTCGACCTCTATAGCAATTATGACAATTTTGATGTTGGCCTAGATCCAGGGCCTGTGCGATTCCATGGGAGGAACACGTTACGAGGAGATGACGAGCCAGGGGAACGTAGTCTGAACAACTACTATGGATGATGGAGTCAATGTCCGTAGCACAAGAATGGTGCTTACAAATGTGATGGAGTATGTCTCCTTTCATGAAGGCAGCATGGTGTATTCCTCAGATCTGTGGCTCAAGTGACCTGTTACTGTCAGCAATGTGTAGCATACCTGAAGTGCTTTAGTTTCTCTACTGGGATTGGTTGCCATAGTAGTGCCATAGTTGTTATTCACATCTTCTCCATCCAGTGCAATATTCTCTTGTATGTCCTGTAATGAATCTATGCAGTGTCTGAATATACAAGAACGTATTGATTCAGCAAAACCCTAGGTTCCAGTATTATAATACAGTTATTGGTTCAAATGCAAAACATCAATTTTGGTTATTTTTGGTAATAGATCAGGAGTCTCAGAGTTATACAAGCTCATCTGAAGCAATGTTATATGGGAAGGTACTAAATGGTGTGAGTATAGATAAATACATCATTTAGTTATTTGGTTGAAATTTTGTATGTTGGACCTCTAAAGATAGGATTTGACGTTTCAGAAAGATGCTTGTGTTTGCAATTAGACTGAGACTACCCACAATCATGTTACATGAGTATACTGATATTATGATACTTACTGAGCAGAAGAGAAATTTGGGGAATCAATTGTTATTTTAGAGTGAGTTATTAAACACCTGTTTACTGAAGTATTTATTCACAGCTTGCCATTCCCACTGCCTCAGTGTAAGGCTGTCAAGGCACAAATTTTATTAGATATCATGGTCTTTTTCTTTAGCTTTTGTAAGCGTTAATGCTTAACTGTGTGCATGTGCTTTTTAATTGGCAAGTTTTACTTAATCTTTTATACACATTTGAAGGCACACATTTACATGTTGTTTTCTTGAAAGTTGCTATCCTTCCCTATAGACTTTTCCAGATATGAAAATGTGTGTTACCTATGATGACCAAACAAAACATGCTACTATTTGGCCATGTATGTAGCTTATGTTTGACAGGTACTTGAAGATATGATGAGTTTTCTTATAGATTTTAGAGAGCCCTAACTTAATTGTGAAAGTATGATAGCTAGATTTTGCAAGCCATAGGTTTTAACTTCAACCTTGCCTCAGATAATTTGAAGTGTGATGGATATGACCAGCTTTTAACTTTGAACAGCATAAGGTTGATCAGTTTGACATGATATATAAAAACTTGGATATGGGCTTCTCCGTAAACATATGTTTTTCAGATGTTATATTTCAAGGCTTAGTATTGCAATGACCACTTCTAGACAAAGACCTACAAAGCATACATGACTTTATGGCTTTCATGTCAGATAAAACCACCTGTGGCACCAAATAAGTGCACACAAAGATTAATAGATGTTGCTTGGGTACAATAAATTGGAATGATCATGACAAATAATTTGGATCAGCCGAACAAACTGTCGGGTGTAATGCACAAAACTGCTTGTACCAGTTGGCCATAGTAATGCCCCAAGTTATAAAGCAAATGCATCTGGTTTTCTTTAACTTGCAAATAAGCTATCATACTTGAAGCAAAAGTTGTGTTTATGAAACATATGAAAATTCACCATTCTTTGAGCCTACCCTCTACCAGGGCGACTGATAGATTTTTCACAGATATTCACAGATATGTCTCTAGCTAGATAGATGGTCATTTTGGTCTGAAGTCACCCTGTAGAGAAATCTCAAGGCTGATTACATGCCTGGTAATTGTTTGCATAACTGCTCAGGCACTGCCACTTAGCAGGTCCAGTTTAAGTCTGCGTGACAGCAATCAAGACAGTTAATTGCTCTGACTTTAATCACTTGCTCTTCTGTGACAGATAAAAAAGCCTTAGACTGGTTGCGTAACGAGCAGTTATCACATCGTTGTGAAGCTCAGCTCATGCAGAGCGAGTACAAAGCCTTTGGCGCGCGCGCAGAGATAATTGTTTCCACATGGGATTTCTCAACAGGGTGACTTCAGACCAAAATGACCATCTATCTATCTATCTAGAGACATATGTGAATATCTGTCAAAAAATCTATCAGTCGCCCTGGTAGAGGGTACTTTGAGCCCATATGTCAAACAAAATACATGATGCATTCAGGAGTCAGAGGCAATATCCAATTCATAGGTCAGTATGGCACCATGATCTTGTTTTCATATTCGTTAAGGCCTATTATTCTAATGAAAATTATTTCTTGCTTTTGCATGTATATTGAAATTGCCAATGTGTGAAACAAGTCGCTAGGTGAGCAAACAATAAAACCAACAGAACTAATCCCTATTATGCTAGTGCCTTTTAAAAACTCTTAAGACATTTTTTAAAGTACAAAGAGATATTTAGAATTTTACCTCATTGTATGATAAGTGTTCATATTTAAGTCAAGTTTGTATGTATCTTCCATCAGATCATTTATTATATATATAAAATAACTGCAGTTTTACTGCCATCTTGTATTATATGAATAACATTATTTTAGATACACTTCTTTGTTATGTTTTTGATACCAGGCATGTTGATACAGATCAACACACTCCACCACGCTCATTTAACCATATGGATATTCTCCTTTTGCAAATTTCACCTTTCCAACTATTGTTCTCTTGAGTCATACAAGTATATATTAATTTAAAGTTTTTGAAATTCTCAAAATATCACATGATGCGTGCTACTGTGCATCCTATTTCATCAGCTAGTGATCAGGAAGATCATTCGGCTTCTGGCACCAAGGTTCATAAAAGTTCTGGATGAGCTGTTGTTTTGTGTACCACTTGATAGGTTCAGAAGTATTGTGCACTTTACTGCACAGAGTACACAACAAATTGGTAGTCCATGACCAACCAGGAGGGATCTGATAATAATTCTTCCATAGGAGGTGCTGTGCATAGAGGGTGTCATTCTTGTCCAAGCGTAACAAATACTGAGCCAGTTCTTTAGGAGAAGAGAAGTCCTGAGTGTCAATATGCCACTCTGGTTTAATACCCAGATCACTGTAGTTTGCCCCACCTCTGGTGACTGCCACTACGTCGTAATCGACTGTATTAAAAAACTTCTCCGTGAGATATTCCTTCAGGAAGTTATTCTCAAATGCCAAATAAAATTTATACTTGCCAAATAAGGAATTGTACTCGGTGCTATTTCTCTTTCCCATTTCACCACAACTCCCGTATACATCAACAGGCATATATTTTCTCAGGAGTTTTATGTAACTTGATCTCTCACTCCCAGTTTTGCAGTGGCTTATCATAGCAAATGCTAATTTGGTTTTTCTCTTTGCCACATCCAGAAATGTTCTGTTCAAAGGTTTAACTCTGGGTACAACTATGCCATATGGTGCATGGATATCTGCATTTTTTTTGTATGTCAATGTCCAGTTGATGCTTTGTTCTAGTCCATGCCACTGGGATGATGGGAAGGGGTTAATGTAGCAGGGGGGTTCTCTTGTCCAGAACACCCATCTTTGATGATTCTTCTTAGGGGGCCATTTGTGGACAGAAATATCAGCAAGAGGGATGAGAAATAGGATGGCTGCAGCATGTTTGACAAAAGAGTGATTGTGCGTAAAAAGACAATCACTTACAGAACAGTTCTGAAATATCTCCACGTTTTGATCTGGTTGAAATGGAAGAAGCTTTCTTTCATCGTTCCAAAACAGAATAACTTTTTTACCAGGTAATACTTC